ATTTGATGAGACCCTGTCTCTAAATAAAATACAAAATAGGGCCCGGGGACGTGGCTCTAGTGGCTGAGTGCCCCTGAGTTCAATCCCTGGTACCAAAACCAAACAAATAAATAAATAATAAAAATGGCTTGAATGACACATTTTTGTTATATTTTGCCACCATAAAAAGTTTTAAATTGACTTCAAAATATAAGGTGCAACAGGGCTGTGAGGGTAGCACTAGGCACTGGGAAAGCACAGAGCAGGGATCCGCCCCAGACAGGGGTGGGCAGTCAGAAAAAATCTCTGAGAGCTGAGTGCGGAGGGACAGCGGGTAAAGAAAGCAAAACGGGGTGAGAGGGGGAGTTTTGCAAGCAGGGGTCAGGGGTCAGGACCTGAAGAAAGAGCGTAAGAAGGGGGAGAGAGAGGAACTAAAACTAGGGAAGTCACTGTGTCTGGGGCAAGGAGTTCAAGTGGTGCCATGTGGTTGAGGTCAGCAGGGTGTGGTTGTGCCAGATAGGGCAGCTCCAGGGTAATGGGGAGCCATGGTGGATGGGGGAGTGAGTGAGGGCCCTAGCAACTTTGTGTTTCAGAGAGATGCCTTCAGTGGGTGGAGAAGGGAATGAGGATGGGGCCCGGAGGCAGGGTCCCTGAGGGAGGATGCCCACATTTGGGAGGAACTGGGACAAGGCTATACAGCCTCTGGGGGACGGGGGTGGTTGTATCTAAGGCTGGGCAGAGCCAGAACACAGAGCTGTTCTGTTCTCTGACCTTGCTGAAGCTTTTGGGCTCATGAATTTTTCAGCCAAACAAACCTTGAGTTTCGGATTCCAGGGCGCTGGGCCCAGGCTTTGGGGTTCTCTATACAGTCTGAAAACATCTCAGGGCCCCAGGAGAGGGATTCTTTCAAGGTTCGTGGCTGGTAGGAATACAGGGCACCCCCACCCTTGCTCCTTTGGGCAGAGGCAGCATAGAATCTCAGGCTTAGGCTTGGAAGAGCTGGAATTCCAGCTGGATGACTTTGTGCAGGTCACTTATCTTCTCTGAGCCTCAAGTGAAGATAACGGCCTTCCCTAAACCAAACTGTTTCCTTTGAGGGTCCCTGCTTGGGAGGTGTTCAGGGCAGTGCCTGCATATAATGCACACCCTTTGGGCCTTAGGTAGCTTTACTAATAGAAATACTCCTCTCTGTCAAGTCAGCAAAGCCATCAGCAGTCTTGGTTGAACCAGGCTCCAGCTTCTAATTCCGGCTTAACAACCTCCTTGCCCTGTGGCCTTGAGCAAGTGGCTTGACTTCTCTGTTCTGCTGATGATATGAACAAAAAACTGTGTCAGATGATAAGCTCTTATTAAATGTGCAATATTGCTGTCTTGTTGGAGATGCTGGATTGGAGAGGAAAAAGGAATCGGGGAGGAGGCCTGATAATTGTTGCCTTTTCAATTTCTTCCCTGAAGTCCCCACTCTCTGGGGCTAATAAAGGTCTGGGGCTGGGATAGAGGAAGGAAAGATGAGACCTGTGCTGGCTCAGGCCATAGTGCATCTGAGGTAGGCTGAGGTTTAGTTTCTCTTTCTTTTCTCCACCCTCCCCCAAACTGACCCACAGTGAATCAAGATCACAGAAAGCCCTAGGGTGGATCCTACGGTCCTCAGCTGCTGATGTTCATGGTGCATCATTGTATCCCACAGTCCAAGGAAAGGGCACATGACTGTTATGTCCATTTGGGGGGGTGGGTAACTAGGGATTGAGCCCAGAGATGCTTAAGCACTACATCCCCAGCCCTGTTAATTTTTTTTTTTATATAGTTGGAGATGAACAGGATGCCTCTATTTTATTTGTTTATTTTTTCTTTTTGTGGTGCTGGGGGTTGAAACCAGGGCCTTGTGTGTGTGAGGCAAGCACTCTACCAACTGAGCTATGTCCCCAGCCCTTAATTATTTATTTTATGTGGTGTTAAGGATCGAACCCAGTGCCTCACACATGCTAGGCAAATGGTCTGCCACTGAGCTACAGCCCCAGCCCCATCCTCAGCCCTTTTATTTTTTATTTTGAAACAGGGTCTATCTAAGTTCCTGGAACTGAACTTGAACTTGCCATCCTTCTGCCTCAACCTCCTGAGTTACAGGGATGACAGGTATGAGCCACCACACCCAGGTTCATTATGTCCGCTTAACAGAGGGGAAACTGAGTTACAGTTGATGTGATCACAAAATGTTGTACAATATTTTTAGCACACAGGATCATATGAGGTCAGGTGTAGAATTTACTGCCTTTAGCCAATCATGTCAACACTCAAAAAGTTTTGAATTTTGAGTTGGGTGCAGTGCCACATGACTGTAATCCTAGAGCACTGGGGGTGGGGGTGGAAGGATCACAAGTTCAAAGCCATCCTCAGTCTCCACAAGGCACTAAGCAACTCAGTGAGACCCTGTCTCTAAATAAAATATTAAATAGTGCTGGAGATGTGGCTCAGTGGTTGAGCACCCCTGAGTTCAATCCCCAGTACCCGCCCCCCCAAAAAAAGAAGAGAAAAAAGTTTTGGATTTTAGAGTTGGTGATGGTTTATTTATTTTTTATTTTATTTTATTTTTGTACTGGGGATTGAGCCCAGGGCCGTGGGCATACTTACTGAGCGACACCCCAAGCTCAAATTTTGGAGCATTTCTGACTTCATATTTTCAGATTAGGGATGCTCTACCTAAATAAGCATACGAAATTGTGTCAGCTACATCCCAGGCAGTGTTTCAACGCCAGGTTGCATAAAATAACTCACTTAGTTGGTACCATAAGTTAATGAGGAAAGCAGAATGATTAGCCCCATTTCCTAGATGTGCAAGCTGAAATGCAGGAAGGTCCAAAGCGAAGATTCGAACACAGGCAGCCAGCTCCAGAGTCCTGGTGCTTCACCAGCACACAAAGGGCAACAAAACCTATGCTACAGCCAGCACCAGGCAGCGCGGGGGCGGGACTGAGTAGGAGGATGCAAGTTCCTGGTCAGCCTGAGCATTTAGTGAGAATCTGTCTCAAAATAAAGTCTGGTGCGGTGGGGCAAGCCTGTAATCCCAGCGGTTTGGGAGGCTGAATCAGGAGGATCTGGAGTTCCAAGCCAGCCTCAGCAACAGTGAGGCGCTAAGCAACTCAGTGAGACCCTGTCTTTAAATAAAATACAAAATAGGGCTGGAGATGTGGCTCAGTGGTCGAGGGCCCCAAGTTAAATCCCCAGTACCGACCCCCGCAAACAAACAAACAAATAAATAAAAATAAAAAGGGCAGGAGATGTAGCTCGGTACTAGAGCGCCCTCTGGTGTCAATCCCCATCACGGGGGGGAAAATTATGGTGGCGGGTCAAGTTCAGGGGTAGAGAGTTTCCCCAGCATGATCCAGGACCTGGGTCCCATCTCCAACACTGAAAAAGCAAACAAGAAAAAAAAAAAAATCCCTGCAGTGCGATTTTGTTTTTCAGAACTGGGATTGAACCCAGGGATGCTTTACCACCAAGGTACATCTCCAGGCCATCCATCTATCTGGCAATTGGGGATTAAACCCAGGGGAGCTTTACCACCGAGCCACATCACCAGCCCTTTTCATCTTCATCGTTTGTTTTGAGGCAGGATCTCCCTAAATTGCTGAGGCTGGCCTCAAACTTGCAATCCTCCCTCAACCTCCAGAGTCTGTGGGTTTACAGGCATATACCACCACGCCTGGCCTTTTATTTTTTTCTGTTTCTCTTAGGATCATCCCTTTTTTGTGTTTCAACCTCGTGTCTTTTGGCCTCCCTAGAAAAAGAGCAGTGACATTATCTATTTCAACTCTCACTGAGCCACAGATGATGTTTAATAAATAAATATTCACTTACTAAATAAATCTTCCTCGTAAAGAAAGAGCTTTCAGTAGGATATGGTGGTGCTCTCCTGTAATCCCAGCGGCTCAAGAGGCTGAGGCAGGAGGATCAAAGCCAGCCTCATAAATTTAGTAAGGCCTTAGAAACTTAGCAAGAATCTGTCTTAAAAAAAAAAAAAAAAAAAAAAAAAAAAAGCTTTAAGTGCCCCTGAGTTCAATCCCTGGTACTAAAAGGAAAAAGAAAAAGAAAACTCAGGTTAGCACACACAGTAGTTGCTCAGTAAATATTTGTAAACGACTATTATTATGTTTATATAATAATCCATTTATTTTCTGACATTCTTTCAACATCTAGTTGTATTAGAGTAGGAGTATTTATTTATTTATTTTTAAAGAGAGAGAGAGAGAAAGAATTTTAATATTTATTTTTTAGTTCTCGGCGGACACAACATCTTTGTTGGTATGTGGTGCTGAGGATCGAACCTGGGCCGCACGCATGCCAGGCGAGCGCGCTATGGCTTGAGCCACATCCCCAGCCCAGGAGTATTTATTTAATTTTATTTTTTTGCTGAGGATGGAACTCATGGCCTCATGTATACTACTACAGGAACACCACTGCCACTGATCTACGCTTCCAGACTTTTTTTTTTTTTTTTTTTTATGGGTGAAAAAGAACACTAGGATTAAGAAAAGCAGCTACATTTGTCCTACTCTGAGTGCTATCCATGGTTTCTGGCACTGAGTGGAAAAACGATTGAGTTTGAAAAGAGTCATTTAGTAGTAAAATTTATTGTATGGATGAATGAATTGGACAAATACTGAGTGGACAGCGAGGGGCTCTGGGGACAAACATAAACAGGAGGAGGTCCTCCCCTACTGGGACTGACATTCCTGTGGGAGAGMTGGGGAATGGACAGGGAGGGTGAATAAGTGGGGGATGGCGGGAGGGAGGAAAGGAAGGAGGGATGGCTGGGCGCACGGAGGGCGGGCGGTCGATTGGGCCGGGTTCTGTGCGCCCCGCACTCSCGATCGCCTAGGGAAGGCGAGGCGGGGCCGTGGTTCCGCGCTTCGTCTGGCTGCTCCCAGCCCCGGTGGCCAGTCAGGTCGGCCGACCGCGGCGCTCACCTGGCGGCCTCCCCTTTAAGAGGCGCTCACCTGGGYGCTCACCTGGGTGCGGGCGCTTCCGCAGGAAGAGGAAGCGGCACGGTCGTCGCCTCTCGGATCGCCCCGTCCGTCTCCCAGGTCCCCCGGCCTCCACCATGTCCGCCTCAGCAGTTTTCATTCTTGACGTCAAGGGCAAGGTGAGGGTGACTAGAGGGACGGTGGGGCCCACAGGTGAGGCGCGCTCCGTGGGATCCGGGGCCCACCTCTCTCCTCCGCGCAGGCTAGGCAGGTCTTGGAGGCGTGGGGACCCCGCCGTCCCCAGCAATCCCTGGGAGTCCCGCTCACTCTCCAAGTGGCCTGGGGGCAGTCAGGCCCTCAGAGCCTCCATTCCCCTTTAGGTAAAAATGGGGACCACAGGGCCTGGCTGCAGCTCAGTTGGTGGGGCCCCGTGCACAAGGCCTGGGTCAGTCCCCAACGGGAACAACAAAGGTCCCCACCCAGTGCTCGTTAGAATACGTATAAACCACTGGGCTTAGTGGCCCTGCTGCAAAGTTAAGCGCTCTGTAAATTGAGATTCATTCCATCGCCAGTGTTAATGGCGCCTCTGGGGAAAGGGACTCCACCTCATTTCCCTATGGGTCCCCTTGCCCCTTCCTGAAGCCCCTTGCCCTTAAAGGTGGTGATGACAGTGATGGTGAAGGTGAAAACATAGTAGTGAGAGCCAGGCGAGGCCGCTCAGGCCTGTAAACCCAGTGGCTATGGAGCCTGAGGCAGGAGGATCTCGAGTTCAAAGCCAGCCTCAGCAAAAGCAAGGCGCTAAGCAATGCAGTGAGACCCTGTCTCTAAATAAAACATAAAATAGGGCTGGGGATGTGGGTCAGTGGTCGAGTGCCCTTGAGTTCAATCCCTGGTACTCCCCCCTCCAAAAAAAAAAAAAAAAAAAATAGTAGTGAGAGCCCAGCCAGGGAGTGGTACCGGCCTATAGTCCAGCTACTCAGGAGGCTGAGGCAGAGAGAGGATCACTGAGTTTCAGATTAGCCTGGGCAACATAGGGAAACCCAGCCTCAAGAAAACCAGCAAATAAAAATTAAAATAAAATAAAAACAGGTAATACCAACCTCTTCCATGGACAAGAGCAGAATTCTGAAGCCTTGGTTCAATTTGTTTCTGCACTTCTTATGACTTATAAACTCAATTTACCCAATCTGTAAGATGGAGATGCTGATGTGGCAACAATGAAATAAACTGAGAAATGTCAAACCTTTGTTCCTTTTATTTTTGGAGAGTGAACCTAGTGTCTCATGTATTTGAAGCAAGCACTCTGCCGCTGAGCTACATCACAGCCCTTTTTTATATTAAGATAAGAGCTTGCTAAATTACTCAGGTTGGCCTTGAATTTGAGATCCTCTTGCTTCAGCCTTCCCAGTCACTRGGAGTAGCTGGGATTACAGGCTGCGCGCCACCATGCTAGCATAATCCTCCTTGGCAGGAAGCACACTGGGTTTCAGTGAGGGCTCTGAATACATTAGCTATTGTTATCATGTGCCCATTTTATAGGCAGGGAAACTGAGGCACACAGAAGCAGAGCCTTGGCTTGCTCCCCTCAACTGGGAAATCCAGCCAGAACTGGACACTCTGAGGCCCCAAGGTTGTGGGTTCTCAGATACTGGGGGTGACCAGGTCATCCCCTTTATCCACCCTTAGCCCCTGATCAGCCGCAACTATAAGGGCGATGTGGCCATGAGCGAGATTGACCATTTCATGCCTCTGCTTATGCAACGGGAGGAGGAGGGTGCCCTGGCACCACTACTGAGCCATGGCCGGGTCCACTTCCTGTGGATCAAACACAGTAACCTCTACTGTATCCAGCCCAGGTAGGGCCCCTGGGGGTTCAGGGTGGTGGCACTTAGGCACTGAGAGGGTGACCTAAGGACAGGAATTGCATAGCACAYCTGCAGCGACTCGGATTATCTGTAGGGGTGGTTTGCAATGGGGGTAATGGCGGGACATAGATTGGAAGTTCAGGATCTRAACTGAATTTGAGCCCCACCCCTCCAATGTCACCTTTTCCTTAACCTTGCTGTGCCCAGTGGTGGCCACCACACTGAAGAATGCCAATGCCTCCATGGTATACTCCTTCCTYTACAAGACTGTGGAGGTAAGTACTGGCCTCTCATTGGCCCACTGTTCTGTGCCCACCTCTTTCAAGGGTCCTATCTCCCAGGAAACCAGCCTTCCCTGGCCTTCTGTAGGGGTCTCTGGGTTAGCCTGTGCTTCCCCATCAAAGGCTCCTTAGCTGTTCAGATCATCTCTTCTTCTGGGTGCAGTGTAATCTCAGTGYCTTGGGAGGCTGAGGCAGGAAGATTGCAAGTCTAAAGCCAGCCTCAGCAACTTTGTGAGGCCCTAAGAAACTCAGCAAGACTTTGTCTCTAAAACATGAAAAAGGGCTGGGGATGTGGCTCAGTGGTAAAGCACCCCCGGGTTGGTTCAATCCCTGGGACACACACCCACACAAAAGATCATCTCTTCCTCTAATGCAGGAACCAGGGAGATCCCTGAGCCAGCGGGCTTAGKATCCAGCCCCAGCTTCCCTACTTCCTGTTACTTGACCCTAAACAAGTCCTGCCTCAGGGTTGTTGTGCAATTTAATGAAATTAGTATGTATAAAGTGCCTAGAACAATCTCCAGTGCAGTCATCCCTTGATATCCACTGGGGATTGGTCCCAGGACATTCCAAGATGCCAGTATCCAAGGATGCTCAAGTCTCTTGTATAAAATGTTCTAGTATTTCATAGWAYCTATGCACATCCTTCTGTAAACTTTAAGTAATCTCAAGATGAAAATATAATACTAAGTGCTATGTAAATCTATATAAAGTTGTAGATTGTATTGTTTAGGAATCATGACAGGATTTTATTCAAGTTCAGCACAACATGCCACTTTCTTTTGGGACTTCTTTTTTTTTTTTTTTTTTTTGGTACTAGAAATTGAACCCAAGGGTGCTTCACCACTGAGCTATCTTGGGGATGTGACACAGGTTCAAACATGAAATTAACTTATGTTTTGCTAGGTGGTGGCATACACCTGTAATCTGGGTGATTTAAGAGAGGCAGAAGCTAGGAGGATTGCAAGTTCAAAGCCAGCCTCAGTAACTTAGAGAGGCCCTCAGCAACTTAGAGAGACTYGGTCTCAATACAAAAAATAAAAAGTGCTGTGGATATGGCTCAGTGATAAATCACCCCTGACTTCAACCCCCAGTGCCCCCCAAAAAGAAAATAATTTATGTTTTATAGACACCTTATACATATAGACTGAAGATCTTTTTTTGTTTTTGTTTTTTTGGGTACTGGGGTTGAACTCAGGGCACTCGACCACTGAGCCATATCCCCAGCCCTATTGTATTTTATTTAGAGACAGGGCTCACTGAGTTGCTTAGGGCCTCACCTTTGCTGAGGCTGGCTTTGAACTCGTGATCCTCCTACCTCAGTTTTCCAAGTCACTGGCATTACAGGCATGTGCTGCCATGCCCGGCTAGTTACAGTTCTCTATGACTCACATACAACAACAAAAAAAATACACACATACTTGATACATATATTTATAAAAGTCCTTTTAATTCCTTCCTCCAGAAATCTTCTTTACAGAATCTTCCTAGACCTCTCTGCCCTCTAGGATCCTGTGGCTGCTTGTATTTTCCTCCTTACTGTCCCTGATTGGATTGGATTGGTTCTGTGATCCATCCATTTTCCCCATGAGGGGAGAGAACCTGTCTGCTTTCTCTAACATTAATGTCCCAGCACAGGCACAGAGTAGGTACTCAATAATTGCTCCTTGGATGGTGGCTTCAAWGACTGCAGACACAGCCCATGGCCATAGCCACACCTATGTGGCAATCTGTCTGCCCCCACCCCAGGTCTTCTGTGAATACTTCAAGGAGCTGGAGGAGGAGAGCATCCGTGACAACTTTGTCATTGTCTATGAGCTGCTGGATGAGCTCATGGACTTTGGTTTCCCACAGACCACGGACAGCAAGATCCTACAGGAGTGAGTGGGCCACATGGGCAGCTGCGGCTGGGCCGTGGGTGGAAGGAATCCAGGAAGGCCCAGAGGTGTTCCAGGGACTAGCTGCTGGTCCCCGTTGCCCTTCCTGCCAGGTACATCACGCAGCAGGGCAACAAACTGGAGACTGGCAAGTCACGGGTGCCACCCACGGTAACGAACGCSGTGTCTTGGCGCTCTGAGGGCATCAAGTACAAGAAGAATGAGGTCTTCATTGATGTCATCGAGTCTGTCAACCTACTGGTGAGGCCCCGCATCTCCACTCCACCCCCATCACGGCCTACCAGCAGGAGAAGGGACCCTAAGCCTGGTGACCTCCATGTGTCTGTCTGCAGGTCAACGCCAATGGCAGTGTCCTGCTGAGTGAGATCGTGGGAACCATCAAGCTCAAGGTGTTTCTGTCCGGAATGCCTGAGCTGCGGCTTGGCCTCAATGACCGCGTGCTCTTTGAGCTCACTGGCCGTAAGATTCTGGGGGATCCTCTGACCCAAAGCATGCCCAAGGGAACCTGGGAACCCAAGGAATGCAGCCAGATCTGAAATAAGTTCTCGCGCGCCCTCTGCCGGTCAATACCAGTGCTGCAGTTGCAATTTAACTGAGCAAAAGCTTTTTCATTGTCAAAGCGCRAGAGGCACACACACTGGTGGAATTTGACATCCTCCTGCTGCATTCCAGGAGCAGCTCTCTATCTTGCCCTCATGGCCTTGATATTCTAGTGGGAGAAAACACATGAGCATCATGTTTAAAAGGCTGACATCAATATCCAGGCTCTGGCTTCACATCTTAGCTCTGCCCTACCAGTTGCTTATGCTCTCTGGGCCTCAGTTTCCTCATCTGTCTTCGCCTTGGTAGTGCTGGGTAGGRAAGGTGGAAATACAGACCCTACCCTGGCATCCAAGGTCACTGTCTTTACTGACCTCTGAGTTTCAGGCAGCAAGAACAAGTCCGTGGAGCTGGAGGATGTCAAATTCCACCAGTGTGTGCGCCTCTCGCGCTTTGACAATGACCGCACCATCTCCTTTATCCCCCCTGATGGTGACTTTGAGCTTATGTCCTACCGCCTCAGCACCCAGGTGAGGCATGGTCAAGCCCTGTGGGAATGGGGTGGTGGTGTGGATGAGCTGGGATGAGGGTTGATCCCAGAGTCTCTGAAAACTCTTCTGTTCTGTCTGCAGGTCAAGCCACTGATATGGATTGAATCTGTCATTGAGAAGTTCTCCCAYAGCCGAGTGGAGATCATGGTCAAGGTGGGTCCTGCGGCAAACATGTTAAYGAGGAATGGTCTTTTCCACCTGTCTTTTTCCTAGTCCGACCCTCCTGCTGTTCTTCTTCTGCTGCATTGTTTCCTCTTCGTTTATTTATTTTTTTCTTCTTCTTTATATTGGGAATTGAAACCAGGACATTGTGCAAGCTAGGCAAGTGCTCTACCACTGAGCTATATCCCACCCCTTTTTATTGTATTTAGAAACTGGGTCTCCCTAAGTTGCCCAGGCCAGCCTTGATCTTGTGATCCTCCTGCCTCAGCATCCTGAGTAGCTCGGATTGTAGGCATGTGCCACTGTGCCCACCTCTTCAGAGTCCTTAACTTGTGATTTTCACAAAGAAAGTTCTCAATAGTGTTTCAATAACAAAAGGAGTATTAACTATTCATTATGTAATTTTAACTGACTCTGTACTTTGTACAGAGACTGAGGGATGTGAGAAAAGAC